CTGCGGGTCCACCACGAGCGGCCGGTCCAGGTGCGTCTTGACGTCCGGCCGCAGCGGGCGCGCGTAGGGGGTGGGCCAGCGCTCAGCCGCGTCCCCGTACAGCGCCTCGCGGCTGGCCAGCAGGTTCTGCTTGCGCATCTCGCTGGTGCGCTGCTCCCACACCGACTTGGCGGGCTTCTGGTTCTTCTGCTGCTCCTTCCTGCAAGGCACGAAGGGGGCTGCTTGCCCTGCTTGCCCCCGTGAGGCCGTGTGCGAAGGTGGTCGGATAACGAGGGCTGCGATCCCGCTCCCCCACCAACACAACAATGGGTTCTTTCAACCTTTATTACATGGATGTATGTAGGTGGGCAGGCCCTGGCCACCGCAAGTGTGTGAAGGTCAGAGGACAACTATCTGCAGTCGGTTCCCTTCTTCCACTGAGTAAGCTTCCAGGGACTGAATTCAAGTTCCCTCGGACCTGTACCTGCAGAGCCACCTTACTGGCCCTTTCTTTTGGATTGCGGAGTACGTCAGTTTCCCACCTCCGCTTCCCCACGGCTAGGAGCACAGGTGTGATTGGTGTATTGATGGGCTCCTAGCCCTGTGGACTTATGGGGAGTGACAGAAACTTTAGGAGGCCAGGTCTACTCGGAGGAAGTCAGGTTATTGAGAGCCTACCTCTGAAGGGCATATTGGGACCTTGGCATGCACCTTCCTTCTCTGCTTCTCCAGCACTGTGAGGTGAGCAGTTTGGCTCCATTATGAGCTTCCATTAAAATATCCTGCCACACCACAGGCTCCAGTTATCTCAGAAGAGCTCCTGCCTAGATTCTACCCGCGAGGGAGTGGGTGTGTGACTCAGTGGTGGAGGCCTGGCCTGCCTACCACGTGTGAATCCCTGGGTTCCACCCCCAATGCCAGAATGAATGAATGAACAAACAAATAATTTAAATGGCAGCACATGAAGCCAACGTTTGATCCTTTTCTTCCAGGTTGTGGGCAGCTGGGGTGTGCAGGTAGGGGGTGTGGGCAACCCTGGAGGAAAGCAGTTGGTTGGCCTGCCTTTTGGGTAGCACTGGCCCTATGGAGGACTGCCCTGCCAAAGCCACTTCCCTTGGACGGGCAGGGGTGTGGTTCTGAACCTCTCTTTAATGGAGACACTTTCACTGTCACCGCCTCTGACCCGCCTGACCCACCAGCGAATGTCCGCCCCACCTTTAGAGTAGGACTTGAATCCAGCTGCACCCACCACCCTGCTCAGCCCTCATCTCTCTTGCTTGGCCAGCCCAGGTTCTTGAATCTGACCTTCAGCCCACATAACCATCCCCACCCCACAGTCTGTTACCCCAAGAATAACTAGAGGGCACCTGTGAGCATCCTAGTCTGGTCTGGACACTCCACCGCTCAAGAACACTCTTTGGCTCTCAATTAGGAGCCAGAACCCAAGTTTTCTCAGTGCTCCCCCACCCAGGCCTTGCCTACCCCGCTCCCCTCCGAACCTGTCTCCTTACCGTCCTTTCCCAGCCATGCCAGTCTCTTTCCTATTCCCGAAACACCCCTGCCTCAGAGCCTTCCTCTCTCACTGGCTCTCTTTCCTTCAAGTTTTGTTCCTTCTAGCCGAGGCCTTGCCTATCAAGTTTGTTTTCTGGAGACAGGATCTTACTATGCCTAGTCTGGACCCAGCTGTCCTTGGACTCGTACGGATCTGCCTGTCTGCCTCCAGAGTGAGGTAGGGGTGTGCCACCACACCTGGCGATAAAGTCACAACTCTTGGGGCTGCAGTGAAGCTCAGTGGCAGAGCACTGGCCTGGGGTGCACACACAGAGCACAGAACAGCTGCGTGACCCAGGTTCTTCACTCCCTGCCCCTTCCAGCTGCTTCCTGGAGGCCCCACAGTATGTAATGACTTACTTGTCTCATTTATTATTTATCTCCTGGACTTGAACAGCTCCACAAAATCCCCTGCCCCTACATGGACGCTGCATTCCCAGCAATTACAGCAGGACCAGGTACACAGCAGACGCTCACTAAATACTCAGGAGTGAAAGGCGGGGAGAGGGCCAAGACACCTCCCAGGCTCAGCAGTTAGGGGCCACCCTAGCCCGCCCCACATCCTTGCCTGAGTGGCACCCAAGGCCTGGGGACACTTACACAGCTATAGACATGTTGGCCGCAGACAGGGGACTCACTTCCGCCACCTCCTTGGCTTTTTGCAGTGCCAGTTTCTGGTTGGCCGCTTCCTCCTCTTCTTGTTCATCCTAGGAAGCAAATGGGATTCCTGTTCACAAGAACAGGCCTGGGGTCCACTCCCACCTTGCTGCCAGCCAGAGGCAAAAATCTGAAGTACTGAGAAACAAGTTTGGCCTGGACCTTAACCAGTTGGGACTAAGGTCCCCAGTGAGACTGGGTGGTGCAATGCACTGCCACCCCCTTGTGTGCAGGCTGGCCTGGAACTTGTCCTGGCCCAGCTCCCCAGTGCTGGAATAGCAGGCATGTGTAAGCGTGCCTGGCTCCCCTACCTCCACTCCCCCAACTGCGTTTTTGGTGCCGGGGATGGACCCTGAGGTCTTGTGCCATGCTGGTTAGAACAGATCAGTCACTGAACCCCTAGTCCTGTGTCTGTGGGCGTTCTGTGTTTTTCAAGCTGTTTGAATGCTCAGAACCAACTCCCTTAAACGTCGGGTAGCCCCAGAGGCAGAGCCGCAGCTTGTAGCTTGTACCACGACTGTCAACAGCCCAGGGAAGGCAGCTGGGGTCTGTAAGATCCGTCTGCGGGAAGTGGGGCCGGGGTGGGGGCTCTACGCGTCAGGCCATGGCCTAGATGGCTGGGGACTCGGAAGAACCATCAAAGGCCGGGTGTGCTGGCGCACGCCTTTAATCCCAACACTTATGAGGCAGTGGCTGGTAGATCTCTGAGTTCAAGGCCAGCCTGGTCTACAGAGTGAGTTCTAGAACATCCAGGGCTATGAAGTGAGGCCCTATCTCAAGGGGAAAAAAAAAGAGAAAGGAAAAAAAAACCCTATTAATGGAAAGACACAGAGAAAACAAGGAAGAAACAGAAAAAACAAACCCACCAATAAGAGGAGCCCTGGGGCGGGTTTGCAGGATGGCTGCCCCTACCTTCTGAATTCTTCTGGGGCCAGGAGTAACCCCCACCTTAAAATATGTCAGTGACAAGGAGGCGGGGTGTCCCCTCTCCTGGCACCGTGCCTAGCATAGTTTAGAACCAGGTCCTCGGAACATCCGCCTCAGCGCCACTGAAAACACAGGTTCCCAGGTCCCGGGAACCCCAGGCACCTGCAGCCCAGCACTGCCTCCCGGAATCTGCATTTTCAGCAAGCGCCTGGGAGGGTACGTAGCACACTCAGGTTTAAGTATCTCATATATCTCATGTGCAGTGGAGAAAACCACAAGTTGCAGATTCAGCCAGCCTGGGTTCAAATCCCAGCCTTTCCACTTACTGCTGTGTGACCTTCAGCAGGTCTCTTAACTTCTCTGTCCCTTCTTCAACATCTCAACGCCGAAGACTCCATGACTCACCCCACTGCTCTTTTCTCCTCAGAACCATCTGATAAACTGGTTTTACAAATGTGTCTGATTTCTGGCCTGTCTCTACAGCCTGAATTCCTGCTCCAACAGGCCAGGGTCTTTGCTTCATTCACGGTTATGTCCTCGGCTTCTAGGCCAGGGCTGTGCTTCCTGTAGGTGCCCGATGTGTGGTTACTGGATGAGGGCGGTAGGTGTAAAGTGGGGCTCAAAGTGTCTTCCCTTGCTGGAGGGTTACAACTGTGTGCAACTCGTGTCCAGTGGACGAAGGGGAAGAAGGGTCTGCAGGGGAATAGCCACTTCCCTCTGGAGTAGCTGGCCTGTCTTCCCATGCCAGCCTCTTGGATGCACTCACGGCTAGATCGGCCTATGGTGACACATGCCAGCCAGCTTCATGGTAGCTGAACTCTTGGCTTTGTGCCTGGGGTGGGAGACTTCCGCTTTTCCCTGCCGGAGGTGGGGCCGGGAAATCCTCCCTCCCTCCTACCAGGGCCAACAGATGGAGAGTTGGCAGCCCCTACCCCGGCAGCCCCAGTGTCTTGAGTTCTAAGGCACTGGGGATGAGGCTGTGGAGCTGAAGCTGGGGTGCTCCAGGCTGGCAGCAAGACCCTGTCTGCAAGCATTGTGTATTTTTAAAATTTTGTAGTGCCATCCATGACCGCAAAGATGCCTCTGCGGTTTCTTCTCCCAGGCAGATGGCACCCATCCCTGGGCACACAGCCTCATCACCCTGTCCAGTTTCCCTCTGTACAGTGCATAACCTGGCAGCCAGCGCTGTTCGTGGGCTTTGCCCACCAGGGGGCGAGAGATGTATTGTTGAAAGCAGGATTACCTCCCGTCTCCTGTGCCTGACTGACTGATGGGGACCTGATGATACCTAGGCTGCCTTGAGGGGCACGTGATATCCCTCAATTATTCACTGTCATCGAGTATGAGTGAAACCTGGGCCTCATCTCACCCAGGCGGCTTTTCTTCCCACTTCCAAATTCTCCCTGCCCCCTGTCCTCGCCTCTCCCCTTTGCAGGGCTCTGTCTTTACTCTCCCAGTTCCTGGTGTATGGGACACGCATCTATCCTCCCTGACCTCAGTTTTCCCACCTGTGGAATATATATATACTTGTTTTTTGGGAAGGAAGACAGGCTCTTGCTATGTAGTATAGCCTGGTCTTAAACTTGCAATCCTCCTGCCTCAGCTCTGTGTTCACAGACATGTGCCGCCATGCTCGCTGCATGATGCTTTATGCAGTGCTGTAGCTGTCATACAGCTTGGACAAGGGACTTTGCCTTTCTGGCCCTCAAAGGAAGACAAGAGTAGTGCCTGGCACCCAAAGCACCACAGTTCTTGACTGCTGTCCCTTGGAAGGCCACCCAAGGGCATTTTACCTGGCCAGGTCCTCAGCACATGGTCCCAGGTGTTGAATATGCCCTCAGACCCATTCTCTGTCCCCCCAGGCACCTGACCTGTGTGCATCCTGTCTCTTGGCCTCCTATCAACGGCCCCCTGGTAGGCTCCATATGGAAGCCACAGGGAGGGCGGAGTGGGAAGTATATTCCCGGTCACTGCATCTGAGCCTTGCCGTGGTGCTGGGTTTCCAGAGGTCTGGCTCTGCCTGCAGCTCTATCAAGTCACTCCTCGCCCCCACCTTGGTTGGTCGTGTGCCCATCACCCTGGAACTCCGTATTCCTCACGCATGCAGCTGGCTATCTGTCCTCAGGAGCCACCCTGACATCCCCTTCCCCTTCTGGGCTGTAAACTGGCTTGTTCAGGGATGGCATGGCTCCAGAAGGGGCGCCCAGTGCTCCCATCCCCACCAAGAGCCCTGACCCCGCCCCCACACCCCACCAACCCCCTGCTGTCATGATCTGCCATGAGCAGGTGGTTCCTGTGCCCTCCACCTTGGTGAGCTCCTGGGCATTGGCCAGATTGTCCACTGCGATAGCCAAGAACACATTCAGCAGGGTGTCTGTGTGTCGAGTCAGGGAAAGCAGCGATGAAGCACCGGGCGGAGCCTGGGCATCTGGGTCCCTCCTCCTCCACCCACACCCAGTCTGTCCCCGGTCTCCATAGAGGATACAGTTCCCGAAGAGGGTGAGGACGATGAAGTAGATGGAGAACACCATGCCGCCCTGCACGCCCCCCTGAGACTTGATCCCATCGTACATGACCTCATTCCAGTCCTCGCCCGTCAGGATCTGAAAGACAGGGACAAACACACAGCCAACCTCTCTCAGCTCACTGGAGCCACAGCTGCAGCCACGATCCTCAGCCCAACCCCAGCCTAGGTCGTCATTGACCCCACGTCAGCTCCCGTCTCGGTGCCTGTAACGGGCTTCTCAGCTCGGCTGTGGGGAATGGGGGACTTGGGTGTCTCTTGGCTTGCTGTGATCCTGTCTTCTCTGATGTAACAAAATGTTTGCTCAGGGCTGAAGGGGTCAGGGCACCAGCTCAGCTCCCAGGGAGTTGGTATTTGGCAATTTAGCAAGATGCTGTCTCAAACAAACAAACAAACAAACAAACAAACAAACAAACAAACTGTAAATGGCAGGGGTCCTGGGGATGTAGCTCAGTGGCAGAATCCTTACCTAGCTCGTCATTTGGCATGGTTATTGGACCTGTGAGAAGTAACCAGGATGACATGGGGTCATGAGGGTGGAGCCTATGTGATGTGGGGTTCCTGCTAGTATAAGGAGAGAGACAGAGAGGGGGGGGAGGGAGGGAGGGAGGGATGTTGTAGCTCAATGACAGGGCACTTGCCTAGCATGTATGAGGAGTTCAAAGGCAGCCTTAGCTATATAGCTAGCATAAGACTAGCCTGGGCTACATGAGACCCTGCCACAAAAAAGGGGTAATTTACGGAGCAAGATTCCACTGTGGACAGCTGGGGTTCAGCCTTGTGAGGCCAGGGAGCTAAGGTGTTTACTCACCCAGGACTGCTCCTGTGACAGTGTGCAAAGTCAGGTCACACACTGGGAGTGAACAGCTGGAGCAGGAGGTGGCAGTCCCACTGATGAGCATGGAGGAGGCGGAGGGGATACCAGGCACGCGTGCGTGTGTGTGTGTGTGTGTGTGTGTGTGTGTGTGTGTGTGTGTGTCTGTCTGTCTGTCTGTCTGTCTGTCTGTCTGAAGGCAGGGCTTTGTAGCTAGCTGCCCTCACATTCCCCAAATAACTAAGGATGGCTTTGAACACCTGACCCTCCTGCTTCCACCCCCCAGTGCTGGGATGACAGTTGTGGGCTACCATGCCTGGCTCCAGAAAGATATCTGAGCAGGGCTCAAATGCTTTAAAAGATTGTGTGATGTGAGTTCATGAAAGTTCAGCACAGGAAGACAGACGCACCACAATCTCACTCAGAGGGGCTGAAAAAGTTGACCTAGAGGATGGACCAGCCGATTAGAGGCCGGGGAGGGAAGTGGAGGAACTGCCACAGAGCAGAGGGCAGGGGGGGCAGTGGGGGAGTGGGGGAGCTCCCACGCAGAGCAGGGGGGGAGGGGGGAGGGGGGGAGCTCCCACGCAGAGTGGGGGGGGCAGTGGGGGAGTGGGGGAGCGCCCATGCAGAGCAGAGGGAGGGGGGGCGGGGGGAAGTGGTGCTGCCATCTTAGGTACTGCTGTGTTTGTGGTGCTGAGCCCAGGGCCATGCACACGGCGTCAGCATCTGCTGCGGCACAGTCCCCGCCCAGATAGATAATCATCCCATAGCCTTTAAAAAGTTTTCTCTCTCTGTTTTTGTTTCAATTTTTATTTTATTTTAATTAATTAATTAATTAATTTTTTTTTGGTTTTTCGAGACAGGGTTTCTCTGTGTAGCTTTGCGCCTTTCCTGAAACTCACTCTGTAGCCCAGGCTGGCCTCGAACTCACAGAGATCCGCCTGCCTCTGCCACCTGAGTGCTGGGATTAAAGGCGTGCGCCACCACTGCCTGGCCCCTCTCTGTTTTTAAAAGACATTTTATTTTTAATTATGTGTGTGTGTGTGTGTGTGTGCGCGTGCATGTGGGTTTGAACATGAGTGCAGATGTCCTCAGAGGCCAGAAGGGGGCGTCAGATTCCTTGGAGCTGGACTTACAGGTGGTTGTGAACCACCGACGTGGGTGCTGGGAACTGGACTCAGGCCCTCTGAGCAGTACATGCTATTAACTGCTCATTTTTTCTTCTTTCTTTTCTCTCCTCCCTCCCTCCCTCCCTC